ACATGTGGTCGGGCATTATCTTGTTGGAAAGTTGGATCTGCCAGGGTGTCAAGATAGGGTAAAAGATGGGGTTCTAGAACTTCGTGGATATAACGCTGCGCGTTCATGTTACCTCTGATGAAGATTAAAGGTGACCTGGACCCATAAGCTATAGCACCCCAAACCATAACTCCAACAGTGTGATGAACATGTCTTTCAACAAAAAACTGTGGATTCCTCCTTTCACCACGTCGCCTTCTAACCCTGGCACGACCATCGTGCATGCCTAAACAAAATCGAGACTCGTCACTAAAGACAATTCCTGATCCCAGAGTGACCGTTGTCTGCACCACTCAAGGCGATTACGTCGGTGTTCTCGAGTTAAAGTGTGGCCGGTATGAAAACAAGCCAAAACTTCTCATTCGTTGGAGTTATGGTTTGGGGTGCTATAGCTTATGGTTCCAGGTCACCTTTAATCTTCATCAGAGGTAACATGAACGCGCAGCGTTATATCCACGAAGTTCTAGAACCCCATCTTTTACCCTATCTTGACACCCTGGCAGATCCAACTTTCCAACAAGATAATGCCCGACCACATGTTGCAAGAGTCACAATAGACTTCTTTCAACATAATGATGTCACATTGTTACCATGGCCACCAAGATCTCCCGACTTATCCCCAATTGAGCACGTGTGGGATATGATGGGTAGGAGATTGCTCAATTTGCAACGTCCTCCTCAGACTCTAGAAGCACTTCGAGAGGAGTTGGTGGTTGGCTGGAATGAGATACCACAGGAGGACATTGACCACCTGATCAGAAGCATGCCTAGGCGCGTTGGAGAATGCGTAGCACATCAGGGTGCATCCACACATTATTAAAGGTCAAAGGGCTTTAAAGCAGCGCAATCATTTTGAAATTTTTATCATTTACTTATTATGCTTCATTAAGTACTTATACAAAATTTTATTAAAATAAAACCATTTAAACTAGGTGTTCGGATTTATATGTCACTTAGTATAGTTTAGACGATATTGGCGATACACTTAATGCCTTTATGGGTGTCCGAGCAGATGGCTTTCGACTGATTTGCAATCTCATTCCTTATTAGCTGACTTGTATGGCCGTTACTTCAGCCTGAGAGATTGTTGCAAGATTGCCTAGACTTATATAGATCTGTTCTTGGCCTTGTCCCATAAATCCCTGCTCCAGCTCCGCCTTGTTTTCGAGCCGTCTGTGTACCAGTAGCTTTTGGCATGTATAGGAGGTCAGTGGGTCAGTTGTGTCTGTGGATATTACCAATTGTTGGAACCACTGGCGATATGGCCCTAAGCTATGGTTGTGGTATATTATCGAAAACTGTCTCTGATATATGTTTGTACTTTGGACTTTTTGAGAATAAAATGGTTATTGCTGAATCTTGATTCGCAACCTACCTTGCTAAACCTGAATCGCGGAGAGGTGTGCCCCCCTGACTTATCCCACCCTCGTTGTTCAATTGTCACAAAACTCCACTCTCAGAAGCGCAGCTTAAGCATCCAGCCCCCTAGAACATCTTCCAGTACCTCAAGCCTACAACCACTACTAATACGTCCCCCTCTAAATCAGTCTCTGAGCAAAATATAAGATCAATCTAGGAAAAATGATTACAAATTCATTATAAAACAGTTTATTGAAAATGAAATTGGTTTATAATAATTGAATTGCACTTTTGGTCAGGTGACTAGTCCAGATTGTTCGCCTTGGTATGCACAGTAGATAACCTTTATCTTTCAAATAGGGTAATCAAACATATTTGAGTCTGAAACAAAGTTAATTTTGATACAATTCCATATTTTGTATCAAACAATTCTGTTATGGCAGCCATTCAAAGTAGGGAGTTTCAACTGAATCAGTCATTTCAAAAATCACTCAATTATTTTCCAAAATGTTTTTTTTTTAATGAAAACGCTTCATTAAAGGTAGATGAGTATTCTAGGTATTCACCTCGTAAATCAATACATTCCCTCATAATACACGTTCACTGCAAAAAACAACGTTAGTCCGTAACTCACGTGGTTTTTGCATGCACTACTCGACGGGGTACTTGAATGGGAGGTCATTTCGAGAACAGTACCAGTATCCTAGATTTTCAATTTCATATTTATGTGCGTATAGCACCAAAATACCACTACTACTAATTACCAAAATAAAGTTCAAATCACTTGTTCAATAATTTTCCTGTTCTCTATCAAAACCATTGACTCAATCGGTCCTCATTTGTATGAATGAGAAACACCATTGAATATAGTCCAAATATTTTAAATAGCAGGCAATACGCCAAATAAAACATGGCATGTCATTAAGTCAATATTTAAGGGACTTTATGGCCTCTCTGATTTTCATAATTTTCTACTGTTCCGTGCCAGGACTCTATTTTGAGGTTATGTTACAAATGTCTATTTGCATCAAATTACTCATGCTTTTGATTTATAACATTTATTTTATCAGCCCGAAATTTTCTACAATTCACAAAGAAAACAGCAGCACAATACGGACACGGAACAGAAAAAATCTAGAAATACCCCAACCTTTCTGAAGGAGAGAAAATACTATGACAATCAAGGAGGCCATCAAGGCGTCCTACAATAATTGTAGGAACGACTGGCAATACGGTCCTAAGTGTAATTTTCAATAATAATCAATGAAAAATGATTCATATGACCCTTTTACTGAAGTTACATATCGCAACTCTCTTTGCTGCTAAAACATCGAAGTCCATAACAGTTTTTCGTTTTTCTTCGACCATTTTTAATAAACTGTGAAGGTTATTCGTTTAAATGGCTTAGGGCTCAAATACCATAACCCCAAAAAAGTACTTCAACTGGTTTATATGTTAGTGTCACAGTTCTTATCTTCTGAAAAATTGAAATCGTTATTTACGAGGTTTTTGCGATGACCGATTCAATTATTATCATTGATTATAGTAATTGCGCCGGATTAGAATATAGTCCGAGATCTCATACAGAATGTCCATCATTTGTCAATGGATGCAAAACCTTTAACCAATAAATAAAGCTTTGCGCACTCTGATAATTTGGGAGTAGGCCTTGGTGCAATGTTGGCTCCAAGTTTCTCTTTTGTATTTCTTGAACCTGAAATTGATAGCATGAAATCGGGAGACTGTACCAAATTCAATGGAATTGTCGGAAATACCACTACCCAGTGTGGTTTACGCGTGTTGAATCTATACAAAGATATACATTTGGTTATCACTACTTTTTCGCAATTATTTAATCCCGCATTCTGATCATTTAAATCATCCTAAACGTTCATAGGTACACAAAAATAAAATCTATGTTGCAAGAATTGCAATGGTTGATTATCAAAAATCATCTTTTTCCACAACACTACATACAATTGAATGTCCATTCCACAATTATTATACTCGTACAAGAGAAAACATAGATTTTCATTTACAAAATTGCAATAGTGATATAACTAGCAAATGAATATTTCAGAAAGGTTTACTAGAATATAATAAACTAAATAATCCTATAATGTCTACTTGTGATTTAAAAACTTTTAAATGAAAATTATATGAATATTTTATGGATAGTGAAAATTCTTAGAGATGCAAGTTTTGTTTTTCTAAATACCTGCATGTTATGTAATTGTTGTAGTTTTTTAAAAGAATGTAATTTTAACAATCATGCTAAATAAAGTTAAACAAACAAAAAGTTACACTGAGACATGAGGCATACATAGTGACATGTCTCCTCCGGTATCAAATTACAGCATTCGAGACCAATTTGTTACTGAGTAAGCCAAGAATGATTAAACGCGTGCGCTCGGGCAACTTGAAAGGAAGTAAACAAGAGAAGTTGAAAACGAAATCAAACGAATAATCCTTATCAAATGATAGCACATTCAGAGCGGCATGAGATTTAGGACCAGGAAGTTGCAACATGTTTGTGTTCTACACGGTGGCCCAACGAAAAGGTCGCACCTCTGTTTGTGACTTTCCTGGCATATTTTGGAAAAAATTATAATTAATATTACCCTCATGTATAAAAAATGCCATAAGAGGTGTGGAATTATCGCAAAACTACAGCGAACATTTCCCGTTACCTAGACAACGGGTAATTTTCAGAGAAAACTGCCCAGCATGTATCGAAAATTTCCCTATAGGTCTGTATCTTTAGTTACGATTAATGAAATGTGCATTTTTCATCTTTGACATGCATAAACATACTTTTAATCTTCCAACTCGAGAAATACTATAACGAATTACACTCGTGCATCAGAATAAACCTGCCTGCCAAAATATGAAGATAAACTCATGCAGTTTTTAGACAACATGCTTGAATGGAAAATTATCAGGTTTATTTTGATGTACTTATGTAATTACTTCCGAAAACTACACTCATTTCCAAGAAGATGGTGCACCGCCGAACTATGTGGCTCCAGTACGACAGTTTTTGTACACCCATTTCCTGAATCGGTGAATAGGCAGACGAGGCCCCAGTCCTTTAGATTACTTTCTTTGGGAGCATTTGAAAAGTAAAGTTTTTTGTACGAAATCAGATTCCATTCAAGATCTTCAGCGGATTACGGCTGAATGTAGACAAATAACTCAAGACATGCTTGAAAATGTGAGGAATAGATTCGAACAAAATCTTTATTATTGCATGGAGGACATCACTTTCAGCACTTATTACCACATTGACTTACCTCTTTATAGCAAATTAATTTTTAATAATCGGATACTTGTTTTTAATTTTAAAGTAAAGCCTTGTTACTATGGGAACTATATTGATTCTTATTTTTACGATATAATCCCTTATTATCAAAATTTCTAGAATTTTATTATTAACTCAAATAGCTTCACAACGATTGAAGATAGGTATAAACAAATACAAAAGTTACTAAACACTTCATCGAACATCTAAAAATTAAAAAAAAATGAGGGTTTCCATTTAAAAATCTAAAGTGTAAAGCAATATCTTATTTTTGCATCACCCTGCATTGTACGTCTGTAGATGAAAATACGTCCCCCTAGAAATCAATATTGACTTGCCCTAGCGTTTTTTCAAAAATACACGTGGAGAGTCACAAATGGCGGTGTGAGCTTTTCGTTGGGCCACCCTGTATGTGTAATAAGAGACTGCCACATGTGCAGAGCCATCTCGTATACAATCTGACAGACCAGCACAGGAATGGAAAGAAAAACATCGCAAAAAATAAACTTTCTATTGTCACTCTCTGAGAGCAAATACATAAAAATGACTATAAAAATTACATCATCAATACTAAGTATCAATGAAAATAGTACAAAGGATGGAGATACTTCCAAAAACTGCTATACTTAGGCTGGATAGCACCGCTGGAAGGACCTTCAGTCCCATCAGAGTCAACATCTGCCGGAATCTCGTTGCTTTTTGTATTACCTGGATTCAGTTCGGGTATCGGCTCATTTGCATCTCCTGTCCTGGACGTCCAAGATGCAGTCCTCCTTCGTATGTTTTCAGTCAATTTAACAAAATTGCAGTAATCTAATTTCTCTTTCTCCTCCTTTTCAGCCGCGGCTCTTTCTTCCTCCAGTAATATTCTGCAATATTCGCTTGTTCCCTCGGTTCTGCAGAAGTTCTTATATTCTCGCGTAGCTTGTCTTAATTTTGTAAGAAAATCAGGCATAGCTTTCAATGTAACCCAAGTCATTACAGATGAGGGTATGTTTACGCCTGGGTTATCAAAATAGGTCAATGTGAACTCTATGCCTAAATCTTTTATGCCGTTATTTCCGTGAGGTCGAATTATCATTCGAGACCAGTAATCCTCTACTCTAAATTTTTCTTTGTATGGTGGATACTTGGAAAATTCTGTACTTCTACTCACTATATATAACATATTTGTTTCTTCGTCTATCAGGTAACGCCTTTTGAATACATAGTCTCTATTTGCAAAAAGCTTCTGAAAAAACAAAATATATATTATGAGCCTTTGTCTCAACTACTATTAGTATGTAAGGTCGGTGGATAGAGGGCATAAACATTTCAGTACATATGCTCTTGGTCATTTATGGAACTTAGCGACTAAAGGCGAGAATGCATTATTGCACATACGATATGATAAACATTCAGCAACGATCTGGAAATGAAATTACTCGATTGAAAACGGGAACGGGTGAAGTAACAAATGTCGGAGAAAAATTAGCAAATAATATAAAAAGCGACTATAATAAATTATACGACATACCGATATTTAAGAGGGGTATTTTTCAGCTATTTTTATCGACAGATTCACCCCAATACAATGTCCTACTCATCCCCCTTGAAATGGCAGCCATTTTAATTTTTACGTTACGATTACGGTAGTGCATGTATAAAAATTGTAATAACGGAGTACGTAATTGTCACAGAATGATAAATTTGGTGTCATTTGAACGATGACATGTTGTCCTAGCGATTATTGAAAAACTTGTTTTGATACTAACCTTCAAACATACTTAAAAACAGACAAAAACAGAAAAAATATGGAGCAAGCAGCCCAATAAATAGATCCATTGCGCCCTATCCATCTATTCGGAATCTGACTGAAATTCCCACTTTATCTAACAACAATAGGACAGAAACACGCAGAACACCGAGTAGTAGTCAAGGATACAAACATTAACAGAAATTTGATTACTTCTTATACAGTACAACCAGAAAAGACAGTTATCATAAGACCAAAAGATAAAAATAAAAGCCGTTTACACACAAAAAAGGTACGCAGCAATTGCAAAACTGAATGTCTCAAAAAAAATAGCGATAGAAGGATGGGGCGGTGAAAAGTGATTGTAACAATATTGGCAACATCACAAAATTGAAATTAGAGGTAGAAAAATATATAGGATACAGTTATGTGAATGTTGGGTATAGGAAATTACCAATGATTAAAGTAGTAGTATGATCCAGTGAGGAATTCGAAAAGAAGCCTGATTAGAGACTTGACTTGAAAGAAACAATATTATAAGTAGTGATTCGATGATAAAGGTAGTGGCAATAAAAAATTAAAATACAGATATCAAGCAATACCGGAAATAGATGTACAAACATTTAAAATAATTATGAAAGGTTTACTGTTTGTATCAATGGATGTGTGTATAGTGCTCGAGCATTATGATCTCCTGAGGAGCTTTAACTGATCGGGATTCTACCATACCTCTAAAAACTGTACAACGAGGTGTTTGTATAAAATGTGATGAGAGCGGCCATCAATCTCAAAACTGCGAATTGTCCGAACTTTGAGGTATGAAATCCGAGGTATAATACATATTTTGACACAAACCACTCATCTTTCAACAAAATATGTAGACTAATACAAATGTAATATGAAAATAAAGCCTCATATATAACTTACAAAATCTAATTGGTAAAGTTAAGCTTACCCCAAAAAGTGATCACTCATGGATATGTTTTGAAGTGGAAAATAATTTTAAATGAAAATACAATGCAAGCAAATTCCAGTTTTTGATTTCACAAAGTTACGAGAAGCACTTTTATAACAATATACCTGAAATTATGAATAATGCCGACAACTACTTCGAAAAAATTATGGTAAAATGGACAAATATTTGAGAGACAAGAAAGTACTATATTTATGAAAGAGTGAACCTACACACAGATATTCAAGGAGTCTAAATTAAAACGCGATGACGTTGTAGTGTAGGGTGTATTGCAGTTCTCAGACGAAGGAAAAATACTATGATAATAAGATCGACAGCCTTAAAAATAATTCTAAGATGACGTGGAAAATATTAAAGAATGTTGTTTCTAGAAGTAGGGAAAGAATGAAGTATCTGAAATGTGTTATGAAGATGGGGCAGCGACAGAAAAAATAATTATAGCGTAAAGAATGAACACTTATTTTATAGACAGTATAAATCAAATATGTAGTAAAAACGAATAATGACAGTGATCCCAACTTATGTTCATTACAAGTATCTAATACTTCATCAATGAACCAATTTAGGACAATAAACTCCAACAATCTAAGAAAAGCAATTTCAAAATTAAAATTTGATCAAAATCCCAGTGAGAGCAAGAATCTGTCAAAAGATTCTAAATGATTGTTTCAGTATAAATGGAGAATAATAAAGGCTATCCACAAGAATATTATGGTTTAACTTATCGAAAGCCTTGCTGAAATCCATGTAAATAACTTCTAAATGTTGTTTGTTGTCTAACGATTCTGCTATACATGGTGTTTCAGAACTAAGGGATCAAACTTCTAGGGTTTATTTAGTGTATCAGTAGAAAACTTTTGAGTATAGGGACATATATCCGGAAAAGTGACACTACGGCACTACGGCCCTAAGACGCGTTAAAATTTAGAAAGACCATGAATTGCCTAAATAGGATTTAATGTATTTAATTTTTGCCTTTTGTACATGATATCATCACAACAATTGTTCAAAATGTCTTCCTACAACCTGAATACACCGATTTAAACGTCGCATATGATTTCGGCGGGCTTGACTAAAAATTTAATACTCGTTTTGAATGATTTCAAATGCTGCTGTAATTCCTCCAATTAAGTCTTGCTCTGTTTCTACTCGAGTTTCGTAAACCAAAGACTACATGTCCCCTCAGGAAAAAATCTAGCGACGTTAAATCGGGTGACCAAGCAGGCCAAGAAACTGTTCCACCTCTGCCAATACAACGGGGCCCAAACCGCTGAGCCAAATACGATAGCACGACTAAGGCGATGTGGAATGCAGCTACAAAAAATAATCTCTGTTACCATTTTTAAAGATAACAACACACAAACGCCGGATATGGGTCCCTATAGTCAAATGTTTTCTACTGTCACACTGAATAACCCCTACAAATTTGATCCCATAGTTCTGAAACACCCTGTATATTGCGTGTTTGTCATTAGGTTTGTCGTAGTGGATCTACCTTTGATGAAACCATGCTGAGATGGTGTAATTAGTATTTTAACGTTCTCAAAGATAAAAGTGTATTTTTTTTTTATACTTCAACTACCACGAAGGCCTAAGGCCTAAGCACCCATTGGGTACCGTGGGGCTATAGGGGGATACATGGGAAAGGGGGAACGCCATACGGACTCTGGCGAGGGAACACGTGTGCATGCAACATGCACACATTCTGGCTCCGACTACGAGATCCGCCGGGTGGTACCTCCGCGTTCGACAGTCAGAGACCGTCTACCATCTACGGACAATCACAACATCCATAGCCAAGAGAAAAATTTCTCCTGGGACGGGACTCGAACCCGCACAGCGCACGGCGACTGATCAGGAGACCGAAGAGTCTACTACTGCGGCCACCGCTGCTGCCTGGCCGCAGGAGTAGCGGTGGCCATTTCAAAGGACTTTGCAAAGTTCAAAATGCTTATAGCTCTATAGTTGAGTACAGTAGATTTATCACCATCTTTCAGGACCGAACACACCTTTGCTATTTTCCAAACATCACTTTTCAATATAGTGTTGAAGATTATCAGCATCGGTTTGACGAAAACATGAGCACAATCTTTAATAATAAAACTAGGTATTTGATTTCTACCAGACGCAAGTTTATCTTGAAGCTTATAGAGAGACTTCATTACATCAGCTTTCGTTAATTCCTCTAGATAAATACAGGGTCCGGTACAAAGGTTGGACGGTTTTTAAAAAACCACAAAATCGGTAATTTTTACTCAAAAATTAATTTATTGACAGATTTGGGTTTACAATGAAATAGCGTTTGTCACAATTAAGTGTGGAAAATCACATCAGTCATGTGGTGATCGTTGCTGGAGGCGTTCTTGACAGTTCGCATAGAGTCTCTCCAACATCGTTCTCTCTACTTGGGCGACTTTCACGCGAATTGCCTCATTCAACTCGTCCAGAGTTCGGTGCTTCTGCTCATAAACACGAGCCTTGAGGTGTCCCCAGAAGAAAAAATCGCAGATGGGTAAATCTGGAGACCGAGGAGGCCAATGAACATCACCAAACCTGGAAATAAGGCGACAATGGAAGAGAGGACGAATAACGTTCATCGTTGCCCTGGCTGTGTGGGCGGTCGCCCCATCCTGTTGGAGACACGCGTCGGAATGGAACACGTCGTCGTCGTAATTCAGGTGAAAAAAAGTTGTTGATCATTTCGACATAGCGCTCCGATTTCACGATAACAGCATTGCGATTACCGTCTTCGAAGTGCTTCCATCTCACGTGCAAAGTTCATTCGGTGTGCGTAATCTCCAAGCTGTAACTGTTGCACAATGGCCAATTTGTAGAGGTGAAAATGGAGTTCCATTTGCAAAATCCGCCTTACCGAATGATCACTGAGGAGAAGTTCAGCAGCATGTTGCCGAGCAGATCGAGCAGGACTGCGAAGGAGGACTTGTCGAACGTGTTCCACATTTTCAGGAGTTCGAACCGTTCGTGGAGCTCCTGGTGGTCTTTCGTTGATCAGTACATCACGTGTGCGATGTGATCGAACCCAACCAAGTATGGTGTTTCGAGAAGGAACAGTTCGATTCCGATGAAACTCACGCTGTATAGCCGTGATATACTCATTATGTCGGACAAAACTGTCGTACGCGAAAACGCGGTGCTCAACCGTCCACTGCTTCATAATCTCTACTGGTAAAAATGCTAGGAACGCCCGAGTCGAAAGGCACTCTCCCGACCACTCTCTCCCGAATATGCGGAGAGTACTAGAAATTTCAAAAACATCAGACCTTTGTGCCGGACCCTGTGTATGGTGTTGCGGTGACACCATGTAAAGAACAGAAATATTTCGAGGAGTAACATGCACACTCTTGAAACAGTCGGCAAATGCATCAGTAACACCTTGTGGTGAATTTCCGTTGAACTGGACGGCCTGGTATTCCGCTAGAGTTTCTCTTATTCCGAATGTACGTCCAGAACTTCGTTGATCCTTGATTATAGTGTCCTCAACCGACTCTAACTGGTATTGGTTAACATCATAAATACACAGTTCTGTAGTATTCGAGGTATTGTTTGTACAAAGGGTACCATAAAAGTTTTGCAATATGACAACAAACTGATGCAGGAGGCTCCATGTTACTGCATTTTGAGACATGTCCACGAATGCATAGTAGCAGCCAGCACCACGTCTGTTGATTTAGTTGTTCATTCGTATTGATACTGTAAAGTGCGGATTATGGCATCGCGGTCACGTAGTGAGATAAGGGCAGTTTTACGGTGGTTTAAGCATAGACCAGGTCTTAAAAGAAATGACGCTTGCATTAAAGAATGATTGTTCTCATCATACGACTATATTCAGGTGGTACAGAGAATTCCAATTGGGCAATTTCACTCTGGCGGACGCTGAGACGTAAGGAACGTCGCGCACGTCTGTAACAGAGGAAAACAGTACTGCTGTAAAAAAGACCGGAGAGTAACACAAAAGCAAATAGAGGAGTTCTTACATCTTCATGCACCAGCAATTCATTCAATTCTGCCTGACCATTTACACGAAGGAAACTTTTTTCTCTCTGGGTACTGCATAGTCTGACAGAAGAGCACAAGACTCGTCGTACGACATGGTGCTTAAAGATTCTGAAAATGTTTGATGATGGCAATCTCGGTAAGTGAACAGCATCGTGACAGGTGACGAGACTTGGCTCTATTATTAAGATGTGCTCAAAAGCTCAAAATAAAGTTTGGATCTTTGATGATCAGGACACACCTGCAGCTGTCAGAAAATCCCAATCTGATAAGAAAAAAATGATAGCTGTATTTTGCAAATCCAGCGGGATTGTGGAGCGTGTCGTTTTTGAACAGTGCCTGCTTGAAAAACCTGCGGTCAAAGTCAAGAATGGACACTTGTACCTCCACCATGACAACGCTCCAGCTCACCCCGCCAAAGTCTACACCGAGTATTTCGCCAGTACTGGGCTGAAACTTATTGAGCATCCTTCTTACAGTCCAGATCTTGCTCCCTGCGACTTTTCACTGTTTCCGTATGTGAAAATGAAGCTAAAAGAAAAACGGTTTTCTAGCGATGGGGTCCTTCTGAGTGATTCGGACAACGAGTGTGCCGCATTCCCAGGTGAAACTTGGCAGAGCTGGTTTAAGGAATGGTTTTGGTGGATGCAGATGTGTATTGAATGTGGTTGAAATTATTTTCAACGAAGTCAATAAATAAAGTTGTATTGCAAAACTTTTATAGTACCTACTCTTTGTATTCTTTCAGAGTACCAGGTAATTGAATGAAGTTACCGGAGCACAGTATTCAATACCAGGGATTTGGGACACATCTATCGATATTTTTACGTAATACAATTCTTTAATAATTATATATTTGTATATTGTTTGTATCATGTGATTATGTATTAAAAATAAAATTCTTAATAATGATACTACATACTACTTTTAAGTAGATGGATAAGATTTCACGTAAAGATATGCCTCTAACATAAGTAATGATAACATTATTATTTCATCTGTGAAAGTTTTTCCAAATAGCGTATTGAATCTTTGAGGTGTGAATACACAATGTTACAGTAGTAGACATTTAAAAATGTTCTTTATTCATTATCTATTAGAAGTTCCTTCAAGCAAAAAATGCTGAATATTTTTGCACAATATTCAGCAGATAGATATTCCTGAGAACATAATATCTACAATATTATTGTCTGAAATGATATCTAGAATGAGAAATCTGGTTGATGTTTGATTTTAAATTATTTCTTAAATAAGTGTGAAAATATTAATTTCAAATGGCCAGGACAACGCGCGTTTCTGTTATACTTCCCTCCCAGGTAAGTCGTTGACTTTCTCAAACGTGGATCTCTCACTGTGAATGTTAAGAGTCTTGACCTTGTACTCGCTTTTTGAATAACAAGAACGTTTCTAAACGGTATAAATATCTACATATGATGTCATGTATGGACAATTACAGTCCGCCTTTCCTGTATTTTGTTAAAACACTCAATTTTTTGGGATAATTGGTAAATATGTTCAAAATTTTAACCTGATCGCAAGATCCATCACAATTCCCCAATTAGATCCACGACGAGATTTGGCATGATGCGGACCAGAGCATAGGTTGTTTTAAGTTGATTAGTGAAAAGATCAATGAGACAGAAATACTGCCTAAATTCTGAATTTTTAATATTCCATGAGTGTTCAAAAAGCGTAAGTTACTGCACAGGGTGGACAACCAAGAATGCGAGGTACTGTACCTGTGAACCTATCTATCGCAGAGGCTTTCGACAAAAACAGTTATTACTAAAACGGCCAAGAAAACACCCAGAAAATATTTTCAAGTTTCTGAAATGGCCGCTATGGGACGTAACTGCTATCTAGAATCTAAAAAAGTGATGCTTCGGTGAATTCTGTGAATCTGATCTTTGAAGTCGAGGATAATGTGAACTTTTTTTGTCAATTTTTGCTGTATCTCTAAAAATAAAAAAAACACCCCGCATCTTCGAAACGGCTGAGCCGATTTTGACAAAGTCTAGTTGAAAAGAGCTATTTTTGGGCTACAAATGATATAATTTTTGTAAGCTTCCCATGTGGGCGCTAGAGGGCTTTTTTCGATATTCCGACAGAAGTGGTTAATTTTCTCAAAATAATTGAATGCATTGGTATGATTATTTTTTCATGAAAAAGCATCTGAATGATACCTAAACAAGCCCGCGAAAACCGCATCTCGATACCTTGATCATAACCTAAAATTTAAAACAAAGAAAATTTTATATGGAAATCCATTAAATTTTTATTTTTTAAACTTAATTTTATGGAACTTCTTTTTATTATTAAGTTGTGGTTTTTAATGCCCCGTATATGCTCGAAATGTATCTCGCTCTATGCATTCCTGAAGCCTCTCATGGGCAAACAAAACTGCAGCTTCAGTTTCGGCTCTCGGCGTGTTACGCATTACATTAAGAATCCGGTTTTTCATATTTCCTCTGGTTGTAGGTCGAGTCTGAAACACGATGTCCTTTAACCGTCCCCATGGAAAAAAGTCAAGACAAGTTAAGTCTGGTGATCGCAAAGGCCATGGAATGTGTTGTGGTTAGATGTCGCCTTGAAAATTCTAGGTCTTCTAACCATTTTGTACTACAATGTGTAGGTTGGCTCTTGTTGTGGACTTCGTGTGTGATTTTTTTCTCCCTCTCCATCTTTGTTTCCTCAGGTTACACCCGTATCCGGATGTATGAGCATGCGTATCTACTTTTGTAGTTGCATATGTGCATTCATTTTGGGCCTGATGAAGCCAACCAGCAGAAATACGTATCGCTCGGGTTACCTATCCTATTTTCTGCTTGAATCCACTTTCCTCCTTTTTGCGGATTTTGCCCATTATTTTCCTTCTTTTTGTTATATACCTTTCTCCGCATGATCATTTTCTCTCTCTCTATATATATATATACCTTTTGTTATTAGTGTTACTTTCCTTTTAATTATCAAAAAGGGTGATTTTATTCTGATGAATAAAAAAGAATTCCACAAAAGTTAGTTTAAAAAAATTAAAATTCAAGGGATTTCCGTATAAAATTTTCTTTGGCCTAACTTTCAGGTGACTAACAAGATATCGAGATGCGGTTTTTGTGAGCTTCTTTATACATCATTTAGCTACTTATTCGTAAAAAATCATACCAATGCATCTAATTTTTTTGAGAAAATCAACCAATCCTAACCTCGCATCCTTAGTTGGCCACCCTGTACAGTAGAATAGGTGACAAAGAACATTAACATATGTGCTATCATTTTTTTAAATCAGTCTGTCTTGAAAACTTTCTTGATGCAGCTTTCCTATAAATAGGAATAAATATAATAATAATAAATTAGATCTTCCATATCAGCATGTATCAGCTGCTTACCTCTAGGTGAGGGATGGTAGACCATTGCATTGTTAAACAATGAGATATATGTATGAGCTATAACGGGTAGATGGAACTGAGACAAACAATAGAAAGGCTAGACATGAGTAATCTTACTTACTGGCCACTGTAATTCCCAATAAATTAGGTCACTATTTGCATCAGGTGTGGGATCTGTATCTGCAACTTCTAGCATCACAGTCATCTCATCCCACTTTTTGCGATAATCCATATCAATCTGAACTTGCAAAAAGTCCATTGCACATACATCATCATATGATCCATATACCTACAAGATGAATTATAGTGTCAATAGTGGGCCTTATTTTGTGTATGTCTTTTTACATCTACCGCATATTGAATTTTTAGGTCTCCACTATTTTTTATTGGCTATATGATTAGGGTTGCCATCCCCTAATATACAAAAGTCGGACTCGGCACTGTTTTGGCCGGACATTTGGCTTGGCATTATTTTCTTTAATAGGAAGCACGAATCCAGCCTTAAGATCAGGGGGGTCACCAGATTCATGTTCTGGAAAATGAAAATGTTCGTCCAGTGTGGGGAAGCGGGTGTCCAAAAAAATGAAAGATTTTTTTTCAAACGCATAACCTCTCTAATTTTGCTTGAATAATGTCAAAACATTTGTAAATACAGTTTTATGTACCTAGAACCCGTCCCGAGTTGCGTTGCGCTAGCTAACGTATTGCAGTGCTCGTTTGTTCTATTAGTAAACACATTGTTTTCGTTCAGTCAACATGTCGAAGGAATTACGCAGTTCTGTAAAGGGAATATTTTCAATAGAGGACGTAAAGCATCAAATTACCGGTTCCAAACTGCCCTCTAATGGACAAGTACTAGAAGTTTTGTTCTATAATATCCGGAAAGTGAAATTAAGTGTCAATGAGAGATAATTTCTATATATCCAAAACATTAAACATACCTAACCAACTTTTTCGGCTGTAATACAAATGCTCAAATAAAAATTTGCTCGGACTAGACCCAAAAAAAACGAAAAGATGTCAACCCTATAGAGTAAACCATACAGGTATTGGCACTAAAAAAGCAAACATATCGGTATTTTATGTTTAGTAGATCAGGCACGTTTAATACGACGAGTATTTTTCTTGAAATTTGAAATTCATTCTATGAATATTGAATTTGAATTCACCCACAAAATAAATAAAACATAAATAAATTGCGCTTCTTAAACAGAGTTCAAGATAAAGTCATTTAAATGCAAAACATTCAATGTAAATAGTTATTTGCACCTTTGGGACAGTACTAGCACTCAGTAAGACCGTTATTGGATTTGGCACCAATAAATAATATGGTGTAAGGTAATAAATATATACAATATGCAAACAATATATACGTAGCTATATTATCATCTATCATTAACAGAAAGTAGCCTATCCGCAAAGTTATCTTAGCACATATGAATCATCTGAATAACAGCAATTATGTTGTATACACATGATATAAAGTTATAGACCAATCAATGAAAAAGATTTCAATACCTATTCAATAGTTCATAAGATATTTGATCTCTACCAGTGCAGCCAAACAATCAGAATAACTTTTTGCTGGATAGCTCTGTACTCTCCTCAACTATTAAGTGAAGTCAACAACAAATTTACCCTACCGTTTTTTTTTTAATCTGCTGAACACGCTACCAGAATCCATGACCAATCAATATTGCAAATTTTATCCGCCTACGATAAAAGCATAGTATCGAAAACTTCACTCACTTGTACAACTATAAAAATAGTCTAAGCGATTAATGGCAAATGTATTGGCAACATTCTAATGTGATCTCTGCTCTGAAATAGATTTCCAGACCTGCACGGATATTACCTATCTTGTCGTTTTTTTACATTTCGTAGGTTTTTTGTGACAACGTAGGTTTTTCTACAAGATGTTAACTTAGCATAAGCTGTTGTACACTTGTTGTGAACTCGTTTTGTAGCTGTAGCTTAAACGTCAGCAAACAGCGATCATAGCGAGCAAACGTGGAATGAACTATTTGCGCACTAAAAACAACCTAGTTGCAAGATGACATTTCGTCGTTTTTTTGATGTTTTTCAGGTTTTTTTTACATATTACCGGTTGGAATTGGGAAAACTGTAACTCCGCAGCCCTGTAAACCCTGTAAACCATGGGTCCCCTTAAATTTGGATAAACAAGATTCAAAGCCAGAACACCTGGATACAGCTACTGCTATTAAAGAAATTATTGGCACGAGTTTTAAGCTGATCCGATACTTAAAGCAGTAAGAAATCGCGTCAAACAGAATCAGTATCATTTCATTCAAACAAAACATTATGGTTGAAGATATTACCTATTCCCGTCATTGAAAGCTCTCTCAATATCTCAACCCTTCAGTTAAGACGGAATCAGAGCGAGCTGTCACTATTTTATAATATTTTGCACTCTCTTAGTTTTGCTTCGGAACTTTTGAAAAATACTAATCTCCATGTGTGATCATTTCGTACTAATTATGCTAGTAATTCCTTCCTGTCTAGATCTTCAAGGTTAGAAAATCAGTATTCCAATAAGTTGGATTTCTTCGGAAGTCAGAAAACATTCAAAATTCAATTAGATTCCTGTATATTTAATATTTGATTTCCCCATATATTTAAATTTTAATTAAATTAGTTTCAATTTAGAAATGATCTGGATTGTAAAGTGTTTGTGATTGTTTTAAGTGTTAAATATCTAAGTCAAAGTAGGGTTAGGTTTACATTAGATTTTCTATGCTGTACATTAATTGAGCAGTCGCTCGTTGATAAATAAATTTTAAATACATACGATGTTTTATTAGAAATTTATACAGAGTGCCGAATGTTTATTGGAATTCAAGAATTTTTTACATACCGTAAAATCATCTAAATATGGTCCAAAACTACATTCAATTTACTTTGTAAGCTTATATATAAAAGTCTATTACCAACAGCGGGAAGGAATTTGATGTAGACTGTACCTGATTGAATTACTGACTATATGTAGTAGTTATTATTGCTTAAAAATACCAACCTATTTTTTAATTTTTTTGTTAAATATTGGACCATAGTTGCATATGATGTTTTTAACTATAGTCCAGATCGAATTTCACCAAGAAAACGTACGCGTATACGAATTTGGACTACAGTTGGAAGGGTCTCATGCAAAAATAGATATATTGAAAGTGATATCTGCAAAAAGAAACTACAAATTACAATCAATAATCTTATTTTTTTATTTATAAGGTACAAATTGAGATCAATTTAACAAAACAGCCTACTCTTCTTAAAACGTCAACAAATGAACAAAGAAAACGTATCTTTCATAGGAACATTTCAAACTATTCATAGAAATTATTTGAGAAAAGCAATAAAAGATAAAGAAATTAAACAAAAACAATTATTTTTTGGGATTTCCCCACCTACTTTCTAGCTCCGGAACTCGGAATAAAGACCTTTTGGTGCTCATTTTTTTGGGCTCCTCAGTTTTATATTTAATATCACCGAGAGGGTAAAATATTTTGTCCTCTTTTTCTGGCCATTTCCACAACAGTCCAGAACGGGCCATACATTTTACGTAGGCTCCTTCTTCTTCGATAGATTCTATCTGGCCAGGCCATAGTTCCCCCTCATACGCCACGACAACATAATCTTCCGGAACATATTGCAGCGATGCATTGTGAGGAGAACTATCATGCTGCTGTTGTATATTTTCATCTTCCCAATCGTCGGCTTCCTCATTTAGCGGGCCATCGGAATCTGAATCGTCAATAGTTTCCACTGCCTGGTCTTCTTCTGAATCTGTTTCAGTTTCCGAATCTGTTTTCTTCTTCTGTTTTTTTTTCTTTCTTCCATTTTTGTTTCTTGTGGAGGTTGAAGGTTCGGACAGGACTCTTTTGAGTTCTTCAGAAGATACGCTTTTTCCGGGATCTACATTCAATTTTCTCTTGCGACCTCCTTTTCCTTGACACACTACAGCTTGCCGCTTATTTTCAAGAAATTGGATGAATGACTCTCCGACGGCCTCTGGATCTAAGGTTGGCTCAGGGTGTTTGAACGTAGGAAGTCTCTCAAGCACTGGCTGTTCATTAGTTGGGAAAATCCCTGTTTTTAAAAAGCCAGCTTTTAGGTTGTCTTCAGTTTTTGGTGCAATTTTTTCCCATAACTGATTAAGCAGTGAAGGGAATGTCTGTTTTGGAATGGTAGGCAAAACTTGACCTTCTCGCGTAGATTTCCATTCATCCAGTATTTTCCGCCAATGGACTTTGAGAGGTCGGAAGTATGCCACGTCCAGCGGTTGTGTAAGGTGTGTACTGTTAGGCGGCAATGCGACGAACGCTATGTTGTGGTCTTCGCATGCTTTGACTACCTTGTAGCTGAGATGTGAGCTTAAATTGTCTCCAATTATTACTTTCTTTCCTTCTTCTCTTCTCAGTGCCGGTAACACTGTGGTGAAAAACCAATCTTCAAAACTATTAGCGTCAAACCAACCCGATTTAGATAGATTGTATCGAGTATTGGAAGGTCCTCCTTCGGTCCAAGTGTCCCACAAATGTTCAGCTTTGTAATTAACATATGGCGGTAACAGTTGACCTGCGGCATTTCCACACATCATCAGACTAAAGGCGGCTTTCGTTGAGTTTTTAATAGCCTCTGGATATTTTGGGCCACGTTTCGTGAGAACTTTTTCCTTTCCTGGGTCATCAACTAAATTAGTCTCATCGTAATTATAAATCAAGTGAGGTGGGATATTCTCAATTTCCATTTTCAAATGATTGAAATAGTTCTTGATAGCTTCTTCATTTACTGCAGCTCGGACACGTTTAATATTGCTGCAGAACCTATGCGAAAGCTCTGATTTGTGTCTCTTTAAAAAAAGTTGAGCCCATGTACGACCTGGAAAATTATTTGAAAATTGTGGCACATTCCTTCCTTGCTTGTCCAAATATGTTTTCACTATGCATCGTAGGTCAAATAAAGTGAATGGGAACCCAAAGTGACACATTTGGATGGCGTGATCGACGAATGAGGATTCTTCTTTCGTGGTGAATACACATTGCCAACCAGGTGGGCGAACACTATTGTTGCGTATTGCTTTTATTTTCAGAATTATTGAAGATCTTGGTATTTTATATTTTTCTGACGCCTCCCTTTGAGTTAATACTCTGTTTTCTATATCCGATAGGCACAGTTCCATCTGTCTGTCGCTATAATACTTGTATGGCCTGCCTCCTAGCTTTCTTCTGGACATTTTCAGTGAGTCATCCATCCACACCTGTAATAAAAATGAACTTCTAAATATGGTCCAAAAAAATCATAGGACTATTGTTGAAACCAAAGTACGAAAAATTATTATTTTTCGATTAATTTTTATAACAACACCTATATGTGAAAAACTATTTGCACAAAGTAGTCACTATTAGCTTACCTTCAAACAAAAACAAACCGCGAAACTCGGCACAAACTGCAAGTAATGTTTTCAAATAAAAGTTTCGTCATCCCATAAAACACGCACCGACTTGTTCAATTTGTCGGCCGGATTGCCTTACCGAGCGGTGTTGCCATCTAGTTAGAAGCGCGGTAACTATCAGACTTATACCCATAGGCAATAATGATACACATTAAATTCACTTGGCGGCAGCACTTTCGAACTTTTAAAGACAAAGATGGACAGGTCATTTTGGATCATAGTTGTATAATAGGACTATAGTTGTATGATTTTACGGTATCGCTTTATCTTGCCATTAGCAGACCAACACTAATTTTCATCAAAGGCAATATGACAACCCAACGCTATATTCAGGATGTAGCGGAGCCTCATTTTATTCCATACCTGAACACCATCCAAAACGCGATTTTTCAGCAAGACAATGCCAGAGCGCATGTTGCCAGAGCATCGTTAGCCTTCATGGATCAACATCGCATCAACCGTTTACCTTGGCCACCCGGATCGCCTGACCTATCTCCAATTGAACATGTCTGGGACATGATAGGTCCCAGGCTCTTGAATTTGCAACACCCTCCAGAGACTTTACCAGATGACTGCCAGACATTAGTTGCCACTATGTCAAGACGTATCGAAGCAGCCGAAAAGGCGATGGAACGCAGTGCTATTTGGTTTCGTTGTTTTTTAGTAATCGGCAGTTTTTTTTAATTCTTAATATATTTTTTCTTTGTACAAAAAAATATAGTATTTTAGAATAATATTAAATAAAAGTTACGAATGTTATCAGAAATATATCTTAGTTTTTAGTAAGTTTCCGCTAATATGACAAAAAGCATAAAAAAGTAGTTTTGGTAGTTGAACAATGCAATACATTTCGAATATGGCACCAGCAAAGAATACATAGCAAAAGTAAATATTTTTCTGTTCATCTATATATTGTAAATACTGATAGCCTTACACAATTACAAATTTATTTTGAAGCCTTTTCATAAATAAACCGTCATCTACTGTCCTGCTTTTAATTATTTGTTCCGACAAACTGCTGATCACAGAACACTAAGGGCCGTTTCGTCAGTCGTTACTACAATTGTAAGACGCCTTTATGGCCTCCTTGATTTCCATAGTTTTCTACTGTTCCGAGTCAGCGCTCCATATTGAGGTTATGTTACAAATGTCTATTTGCATCAAATTGTTCATGCTTTTGATTTATATCATCTGTTATATAGCGTCAAATTTCCTACAGTTCAAGAAAAGATAGCCTGACCAATAGGAGAGCGCTGTCGCTGACACGGAACAGTAGAAATCTAGAAATATCCAAGCCGTTCAGAAGCAGAGAAAAAAATATGAAAATCAAGAAGGCCATAATGATGTCCTACAATAAATTGTAGGAACGACTGACGATAGGGACCTAAAGCGTCTTAAATTGTTGTACTACTAAGAGAATTTGCATGCGATATTCCCCTCCGAAATGGCGGCCGTTTTTCACACAGGAGGTTTCATTGTTTCATAGCTGATTGCTATGGAACAACTACCCCCCCCCCCAAGTGTTTCCATACTTTTTTTACTCATCTAAGCTCTTCTTTTTTATCAAGGGAGAAAATAAAAGAGAAATTTAGACTCACCAACAAGGGGAGATGATATTTAATACAGAAGAATTTTTACCACAACACCTAAATTTTTTGTTTGCTGTAATTTGTATTTTACTCTGTAAAAAGGCTTAATTTAATTCCTCTGCTTCTGCATAAAAGAATCCTAACAAAATGTTTATTTTTACTGTGATATCAGAGGATCCGCGAACACATTCACACTCCTACACACGTGCCTACATTTTGGATGGTCAGGTATCAAAAATCTGCTACAATTTGGTACTGGAATGTTACCAAATCATGTTAGAAAGCTCATAAGAGTGAATTACAACTTGGTTTGTTAATATTAATTTATATTCGTCAAAGAAAAATTCAAAAAAGAATAGTCAGATTAATTTTTATCACACCTAGGCGTGAATTTTGTAGGTCTACATTCAATAGTAATGATCTAGGAACACTTTTGGAAGTCTACATCTTTAACTGCACTACAGTGCATACAGGGTGATTTTTTTTAATATCTTCAAAACCGTCAACTGGAATAAACTAAAATTTGGTATGTGGATTGACCTAAGTATTGTCTACATTTAAAAGTCTTTACTTAAAATCAACGTGCACCTGTGGCGGAGATACAGGGGATCAGTGGCATTATTTTTCCAAACAAAAATAGTACTACACTGTTCTCTTTTTTGAAACTCGCAATTTTTCGAATGTTACCTTCAATTTGATTTAAATAATTACTCGTGTTTTTCCTAGAGTGCATTGTTTTCGTAAAAATAAAAAAATACAAATTAGATAAATAATCAAAGCTTTGTTTCAATAAATGTTCAAAAAGACCACCATTCTGACGGATACAAGTGCGGCATCTTTTTAATAAAGAAAAACGTATTTCCGCAAAATTTGTTGTAGCTTGAATTTGATGAAACGCATTATCCATTCTTTCTTGTAACTGATTAACAGTAGTAATTTGTTCAGCATACACTAGTTGTTTAAAAGTGCCCCACAAAAAGAAATCCATGGGGTTCAAATTAGGAGACCTCGCAGGCCAATGTACGAGTCCGTTTCTGCCAATAATCCATCGTTGTCTAAAATGATTATTTAACCATGCGGTTTTGTCACGACGAACATGCGGTGGGCACCGTCGTGCTGATACCACATTCGTACTCCCGTTGCTAACGTAATATCATAACACATTTTCTATGTAATTCTCTAGAAAAGCTACGTATGAGTTTGCATTTAAACGTTGTGGCAATACGTGCATAAACAGTTGGCCATTGAAAATGCCGCACCAGACATTTCTAGAAAATCTGTGCTGAATCGAGTGGATTCTTACAGAACGGGGATTTTCTAACGACCAAATATGTTCATTATGGGAATTAAAGGTTCCACTCCTCGTAAAAAACGATTCACCGGACCATAAAACACCATAATATAAAATCTGCATTTTGATTATGTATTTGCAGTAACCACTCACAAAAATTTCGCCGTTTCATTTCGTCGCCTGGTTGCAGATATTGCATATTTTGCTGATGTAAAACTTCCCGATTCAAAATTCGTCACGCACGACTTCGGGAACATAGTAACTGAGCTGCAATCCTCCCAGTACTTTTACTAGGATGATCCAACGCCAAATTAATCACTTCCCTCTAACTCTGGGAAGTTTGAAAATTCCATATTGCCGAAGTCTTAGAAATGAAGCCGCTAAAGCATTTCCATTACAGAATCGGTACACAAAAATAATATCAGCTTACTCATCATTGCTAAATTCCATTTCACAACACTCAAAAATGGAAAAAAGAAACTTTTGACTTGACTTATGAAAAAAAAATGGTAGTAGTAATGACAACCACATAACACGTAACTTTGACAAACTATCTTCCAAGATAAGTTGGAATCAAGGACTCCTATTTTATTTTGAAACTAATTATTGTATCTTAGCTCTTCATAAATGATCTAATTTGATTTATTTTCATTTTTACAAAAACAGTGCTCTCCAGAAAAAAACATAAGAGTAATTATTTGTGGCAAATTGAAGGTATAATTCGAAAAACTGCGCGTTTCGAAAAAAAATCAGCGTACTATTTTTATTTGGAAAAACAATGCCACTAGTCCCCTGTATCTCCGCCACTGGTGCATGTTAACTTTAGGTAAAGACTTTTGAATGTGGACAATACTTAGGTAAATCCACATACCAAATTTTAGTTCATTCCATTGAACGGTTTTGAAGATATTAAAAAAAATTGTTTTTTATCTTTAAACTTTGCCACACCATGTCTTTTTAATGAAGTCCTTTGAGAAAAAAAATGTTACATAAAAGACCCCCCTTAAAATGCAGTCATGTGTCTAAGGTTTCATTTTTGGTCACAACTTGTGAATCACCCTGTATGCATTTCACAACAAATGTAGGTTTGTTAAAAATAAAGATGTAAATGTTCATTACAACACAAGAGCTGGCATGGATTTGAGCATATCATCACATGCATTAGCAATGCTTGCAAAATTACTTGAGTCTATAATAAGCTTCCCTCTGGGCTTAAAAGACTTCAGAATGTCATAGTATTTAAAAAACGCCTGAGGAGGTATCTTGTGGAGCTGTGGCCCTACTCAATAACATACTTTTTATGATTCTATAATTCATTCCCTTATTAAAAATTATACATTATATATTTTAATGTGCCTATTGATTCAATGTGCTATTGTAACTGTTTTTATGTAACAAATCTCTGTACCCTTTTTACATACTCATCTAATGTAAGAGTAAGAAGCATCTACTGTATTACACTTTTGATATTTATGCAATAATAAACAACTACAACTAAAGGTGCCAATTACTGTTAGAGTGCCAATGATTGTATGTTTTACCCCACATGAGCCAACAATTTTGCAGTCACCTTCAAATTAGTAAATGTAATCAAAGCAAAATTATAAAAATTAAAGAAAAAATATACAGTGCTATTTACCTTATATTCATATAGCCCAGATGGATGAGGTCTTCTCCACACCACTAAGTCATCTCGCTCTAGATAAGGTACCCACTGGTCATATGACTTACTAGTGTCAGGTTTTCCAGCTGTGCCACATTCACAAACACTAGTGTTGATGGTTGTTTTTGAGCTAGGGTCACACAACATACATATTGTATTCTCTTTCAATAGTTGAACATAATCAAATTCACCTTGGTGCTGTTTTATATCTTCCAGGGGTATCCGATCATCCTTCCAATTGTATGCTGATACACCCACTGCACCTAGCGCAAGCTCCTTACCTTTTCTTGCTAAGCTTTGTCGCATTCGTTTAATAAAATCTTTTAAAGCTCTTTCTTCCCACCATCTGCTGTATAAGCAAAACATTTGCTGGCACCTCCTTAATCTCTGTGCTAAGACACATTCGCAGTGGTGAGCCCATATCTTGAATACATTTTGTTTGTTTTGTTTGGTAGCAGGTTTAGGAAGTGTCTTGAGTAATTTGTATAATTTACCACTGACTATGAGGTCGTATATCTTCTTGTTGGCTGATTTCATGGTTCCTGTATCGTTGAACTTTTGCCTGATCATGATTATTGTTTGGTTTGTTAGGTAAGTCTTGCGGATTCCATCGGCGATATTTTTTAGGTTAGGTTTACATGACACAACGGACTGCGAGAATTTCTGGGGGTACATTTCAATATATCTTGTTTATGTTCCTTTGATGGTATTTTCGAAGGCCGATTAGCGAGTGGGGTTGTTTACAAGACGATGATAATGGTTCATAACATGACTGGAATTTTGACAGAATGAGTATGGAAACTTACTAGACGTTTAACGTGTGAACCGTGAACTACTTATATCAAGTAAAGTGTGCACAAGGAAAAACTTGAAAAAATCAATGAGACTGTAAGTAGGTACAATATTACTGCACCAAATATTTACGATACAAAAATATCAAAGCTAAATGTGCATTTAGATGTGCATAAGCATGCGCTTGAGAATTGCCGGGAAATTCTGTAAAAAAAATATTTACCAGGCAGATCGATTTGGCTCACTTTGAGAATATGCAATTATTGCTACGTAATTCTAAACAATCTCAGAAAAAAATGAGGTAGAAACTGTGATGTTTTTTAAACTAGAAAATCATAAATAACTTGAAACTGCACGCAATAGATCGTCTGTGCATAAAATTCAACAACTTGATTTCACATTTTTACGAATCACAATTTCGGCGATAGTCAATAGGATAATCATGCTATCATGACAGAGCAATATATTATATTTAGAGATTTTTTAGGAATAATTTATTTGAAACCCGGGGTACTTTTTCAAACTGTCTCATTGACAAAAATGTCAATGTCATTCTTCACAGAACGACAAACTGGAGGGGTTTGGCGAGTTTTGTTCTGTGAAACAGAAATTTCGGAGTACGTTCCTCGTACCTGTTTAACATGCGGACGTCAGAAAGTGAACAGGGCCGTAGTCACAAATAATGCCATCAATGTATTCCAAGATAGTAAACCACGTGTATTTCTATGTTCACAAATGGATCTGACATACGCTAGCATCTGCCTAGTCATCGTAATTCTGTATAATGTAAAAACTAGGCTGTACCTCCAACCAATAGGGGGTTGCGATACAGTTCTTGCGCCAACCCAACAAACATTATTGTCGTTTTGCCAGATATTTTCTCTGGTGAACCTGCCGATACCGAGAGGCTTTTGGCCCGCTTGCAAGGGTGGGCCGTATCCCCTTGGGAATCCGGTTCGATCTTAAAATTTGCATATTTAGCATGCTTTTGTGTACAATTTTGAAGATTTTTAGGATTGGCCTTCTTCCCCTTGGGAAAATTTGCTACTCCCCGATCTTCAAAAAGTTTTGAGGGCCGGTACACTTTCAAAAAAGTTATCTCTTGCGAATGATTGGTCTCCTGAGAAAAATTCCTGCGGGAGCCCATGCACTTACTAAAACATTACACTCGCCTCATTATAATTCCTTGATTAATCTGACCTTAAATTCCGAACCGTTTGAGCCCTCGAATCTAAAGACAGAAGTTATTGGCTTCGTTTTTGGCAATGAATCAGCTGTTACTCTACTGTAATGAATATTCATGAAAAAGACAATAATGTAGCAAAGTATAGCTTTTGGTCTAGTTCTGCTCCTTTTGTAGTCACATGTTCTGTGGATTTATGATTTTAACTCTATTCATTTCTTGACCTGAATTTTTCCATGAAAAAATGACAAGGTTTTGAAAATTTGGTGTTAGCTTCATGATCAAATAAAAAAATATACAACTTGTGATGATTCTTATTACTGTCAAATTACTTCGGTTTACTTCAGTTTTCCAACCATCGTAATTTTCTATTGCTGTCAAAAATAATTAATGGAAGGCTTAACGATTCGTTAGTTTTGTTGCACTAAAAACATTTCATTGTTAAGTTTCAATTATAACTGCTATTTAACTTTTGTTTCCATGGATAGTGCGATTTCTATTAATCATACTACTAGCTTATGCAATTTGCGAACAATTTGAAATAATTCAAAAAAGTATACCATAAATAGCACCAGGAATGACCTTTTTATCAAGGAAAACCTTGCAAAAAGTAGTACTTATAAACGTTAAACTTTACAGGGTGGTCCATTCAATTTTTTTCTTGAAATAAAGTACCTACATTTGGGGTTCTTGACAATCACGCATTCACCACTCTGGAAATTCTAAAAATCGACTAATTAGATTGGAATTGGGTATAATAGAAAGCTTTTGACACAAAATTCACCAGTCAAGTTAGCAGTTGTGGGCTTCTAAAAATGTGCCCTGAGATACCGTGTACAATAATCCATGAATAGTTTTCCTTGACAAATTTCTGGTCAGAAGCAATATTTCGCCCTCGCTTCGATGGGAGATCCTGTAACCTGTATGTATAAAAAAGATCATCCTGTATGTATACAGGGTGTCCAAGATAGGGATAATATGCATGGGGATTTCAAATACTGTGCAAGGGACAGCTTAGGTTAAATTAGAAAAAAGTTGCGTTCCTTGGGATGGATTTACACGCCGTTGAGAACCTGTAAAGATTTCACGGCTTACTGAGGTATTTGGCAAAGACTAAAATCTGCCAAATCGTTATTTTTTTCTGACCTTATTTTGAGGAATGTCAAAAAACCAATGAAACTTTTTCATTAACACTTTTTAGGTACCGTCATTTGGGGTGGAATTGATCGAAAATTAGTTGTTTTCTCATATTTTTCTCGAATTATTAGGAACAATCTTTTAGAAGAAGTGTGAATATATAGAAAATGCTTATAGGAATCGAACAGTAAAATATCACGAATTTCAATTTTAGAGTATAAGAAATATACAGGAATAAAGTCGTGAACAATCTCATACACGTTTTGGGGTGAGAATGTTCACACATACTATGCTGCACAGGAAGTAAGCAGACAAGACTATAGATGATCAATCTCACCGCCTTTGTTCTATGTCAGGTATTTTTGAAGTTATAGCTTTTTATACTGGTGGGGGTGAAATTGTTCAGGGTGGGTGAGATTGATCATGGGATTTCTTTATCATAAATTGACCTTTCTTCATAAATTAAGACAAATTGATAATTGTTATGAAACCTTTATTAGTTATAAAAGTGAAAATACACTAATTTGAACAAAAAAATGTTTCTCTTAAAGAAAACGGAACTTGAAAGCAGAGTCAAAAACTACTTCATTTCAAAAACGTCAATAACTCTTTCGAAGAAGTACTTGTCGATATCATCACTTTGTTTTATTGACAGATTTGGTAAAATGGCTAACACATCAGATATATCTGTTACACATTCGTCACCGTCTTCAACTGCGAAAATCTTCTTTGATTTGTCTACAGACTTCATACCCAGTAAGTCAATTTCTTCTTTTCCTTCTTCGTCCACTCTCACCTGCTGTATAATAGCTATGTACTGATAGATTGTTTTCTTTCTTGATCCACCGTAAACCTTAACTAGCACAAATTTCCCAGCCGCAACTTGATTTTCTTCTGGTTCGAAATATTCTGTATCTGCCCCGACATCATCATTTGCATCTTCTAGGAGATTGTCGTCGGAGTGGTCATTGGTTAATGGCTGATCTACATCTGAATCGCTAGAATCTTCATCAATACACGATGTTACGCTTTTGCCAGGTTCTACCGACAGTTTTTTCCTTTTAATACTCCTTCTTGTTGGAACTGCTGTAAAACGTTATTGTTGCAAGTACTTCACAAGAACGTTATTCAGAGTGCCATCAGTATCATTGCCAATAGCTTCACTTGGGATCTTCTGCATTACTCGCTCAGGATCAAATGGCGCAACTCCTGTCGCTTGAAATGACGCTATTAAATCTTTTTTTATAGCATTTTCTGATTTTTTATTCATTTCACTAAGAGCGGCAGCCAGCAAATGGGAAAAATCTCCTTTATCAATAGAAGTCTGTTGTGAATGAGTCTTCTTCCAGTTCAATAACATCGACCTCCACGCTATTTTAAATGGACGTCAAAAATCCAACATCAAGGGTTGTGTGAGGCGAGTCGAATTCTTCGGAAGGCACACAAAGGCAATGTCATTTTCTTGGCATTGTTTTCGCATGTGGTAAGAATGCATCTCAAACCAGTCTGTGAAAGTTTGGGCATCGATCCACCCATGGTGGGTTCGATTGTAACTAGAACCTTGACCACAACATCTGTCATTGCAACAAGGCCCACCTTTTGAACCCAATTCAGTCCATTGCTGCCACATTTTTCCTGCCTTGTAGATGATGTAAGTAGGCAATAGTACAAGAGTGGCTGAACCACACATCATAATTGATATTGCTGTCTTTGTAAAGTTGCATATGCGTTCTGGATACTTGGTTCCACGACGAAATAACATTTTCTGCTTCCCAGGGTCATCTTGCAAATTCGTTTCGTCGTAATTAAACACATTTGCGGCTGGGACATCTTTCAGCGTTTCTCTCAGATTATTAAAATATTCTACGACGATATCACGCGAAATACGTGCACGTGATATTTTAATATTCGCCGACACATTTTGACTGATCCCTCTTTTGTGTCTTTGTAGCAGAGGACGAGCCCAGTCTATCCCAGGCATATTTGATTTAAACTTACTAACATTGCGCCCTTGCTATCTAAGTAATTTTTAGCTAAGTATCGTAAGTCAGTTATTGTAAGAGGGAATCCTCACTCTCCACAGCAGTTTGCTGCCTTTATAAATGCTTTTTCTTCATTAAATGTGAAAACTGTTTGTTCTCCGCTTTTCTTAATATGGCTACCAATGTATTTATAGCGAAGAGTGCCAAATGGAATTTAATATTCAGCTGCAATACGACGAATAGACCAATCATCTTCAGCAATCTCTCGAAATGCTAATTCGACCTTGGCATTGGAATAATCCTTGTATGGACGTGCTCCTAGCCTTCGTTGGTACTTTCTTGGTATGGCTGTAAAAAACAAAAAAAAAAATAGATAAATAAAGTAGATTTTAAGTTACCTTCAAACTTATCTATTACGTGGGGTGAGATTGATCAGATGACAAATCTCGCCCCATATACATGATCAATCTGACCCCAGCTAACAAAACGACAAATAAGATCAAAATGGCTGAGCCGATTGTTAACAGCAAAACATACGATGGCTACAAGTCATAAACATACAAATATATTTGCTGAAAATTAAAAAAACTACTTAAATTCAGACTTAACAGACAAAGTTCTCGATGTTCACTTTCACAGAAAAACACTGACTACTAACAACTTGCAGTTTTTTCATAAAATACGGAGCCGTTATAGTTCACGTGTACATATTGCCCTCGGCCATCTTTCTACTGTCACTGCTATCCAATAGGAGTGCGTTCGTACATTTGATTTTGGCGCTGAATTCAAATACATAAATGGATGAATTAGTGAACAATCTCACCCCGTATGATCAATTTCAGCCCAAATGTCGGTACTACATGATGGTGTTTTTAAATTTTATACCCAACGTTTCGTTTTTGAGAAACCATCATTTTCTGACGAGAGACCTGGCGGCTATCACTGCTTGGGGGCGCAACAATCTTGTACAGCTTAATGCTTCCAAAACACAGTACTATACCTTGACGAACAAAAAGCGTCCTAGTGATTGTCCGGTTTCAATGGATGGCCTAGTTCTGCCAAAGAGCCTTTCATTTCGTCTTGCCGGAGTCCAGATCACCGAGGACTTGATCGAGCCCGAACACATCTGGTCAATAGATGCAGCTGCTATGAAAAAGCAAGGCTATTTGCTTAGAGATAGGAAGTACTTTTCTCAGCAAGGCCCAGATAAGACCTAGCTTCGAGTATTGCTCATACGTTTGGGGTGCTGCCGCCCCAACTACATTATCTGTGCTCGTCCAGAGGAGGGCTGTTCGACTTCGACCTTCGATCCTAACCGTGTCGAACTCACGTATATCTAGAACTGGCCGATACGACCGCTCCTTTGTCACGAGAGTGTCGAGATTGTGGAATATTCTCCCAGTGTTACTAACCTTAGGCAGTTCAAAAATGCTTCCTTATAACAAAAATGTAAAGTGTTTAGTAGTGAGTATGTGTCGCAAATTTTCGAAGGAACTTTCACGTGACTCTATATCTATCACTGCGTTATCTCATACAATAATAGTTTTATTTCTTCTTTACCTTTAGAAAACGAAAAAGAAACCCTAAATTAGTCTAAGTCATTTCGGAACCATGCTGAAAGTTCCGAAGGTGCTCATAATTGGTGCTGGACCAGCTGGTATAGCAGCCGCTGCAAAGCTCGTTGAGAATGGCTTCAACAATGTTATTATTTTGGAAGCAGAGGGTAGGATTGGAGGAAGGGTAAGTAGATGTTTCAAAATTGATCTGATTTCCACGTTGTCATCGATGTATCACTGCAATTATCTCTAAGATTTTGCGAAAAGATAAGTTGTATAAGCAACCACCGTTTTAGTCATCTATTAACCATTGTGTACGGTGAATGTGCCAGTGGTCGGAAGGTTTAGACAAATGTAAAATAGAATCACGTTAACTTTTCGCCGACAGCAAATACATTGCTTATAAATACTCCTGTAATTTTATTGAAAAATATTAATCAAAGGTGGTGCTATTTTTCCAGTACTCGGACAGAAGATGCTACTAGTCGGCCGGCTAGTTTCTAATTGTCGCACAGCATTTGATTCGACAGTTTTAGGCAGAACCGTATCTAAAAATTTGTGACAGAATAGAAGTTTATACTGAGTCCATTTAATATAGATATTTTTATCAAAAATAATTAAAAACTAGGTAAAAATGAACAAGAAACTAATATTTTCCGTGTGGCCGAGAATCCAGGCACTCCATTCGGCATCGTGGCCAAGAATTGCACCTTACCAAACTCACTCTACAACGAATTTTGGCAAAAGAACTGTGTTTGCATGCGTACAAGGCTCAACTGACGCAAGAATTCAAGCCACGAACAATGCGCAGCGCCATGAATTCGTTGATTGGGCGCTGGAGCACCACCAAATTGATGCGGATTTCTCGAAGAAAACCATTTTCTCTGATGAGACACATTTTCAACTGAACGTGTACGTCAATAAGCAGAACTGCCGAATATATGGTTCTGAAAACCCTCGTGTAATAATCGAACAACCAATGCATCCGCCGCGAGTTACCGCGATCGAATTGATGTGGAGGATATATTCTACCAACAAGACAGTGCGACCTGCCACACAGCACGCTAAACAATGAATACATGTTTAGCATTATTTTTATTTTATTCACAATAGGTGTTCAAATACACTGCAACGCAAATTAACCGGACAAACTAAATTTTGTTCAAATTAAATTTGAAATAACTTTTGAACTTTAACTAAATTTTTTCGTCAAGTTGTAGGTTATTTCATTGTCATAACTATCGACTGCCGATCTTGCAAAAAACTTGCTGTTGTCATACAGGGTGTAACCAAAAATTGTGCCCTAAATTTCTAAACACCCTGTGGAAACATTGGATTACTGAATAAGGTGTCTTCGTATGATAATTTTAAGCCTCAATCTTTCTCAATAGTTCTTTTTTTGATTCATGTCAATATCTCAATTATTGAAGAATATATGCTATTTTGAAGAAAATCATACAAATCATAGCCATAAACAATTTAACTTGAAAAATTACAGTCACATCATCGGTAATTAGAAATTGTTATCAAAAACCAGTATTTCCTCCCCGGGTTTGAATAACAGCTCTCATCCTCTCTGGCATAGACTCAAGCCAGCTACTGTCTTGGGGTATTTGTTCCCACTCGTTTACCAGCGCCTGTTACAACGCAGCCACAATTTAAAATTATCCATAGTTCTGCCTAAGCCTTCTTCCTAATGTATGTGCTCAATGGGGTTAAGATCCGCGGAAAGTCTAGTACTCGAATTCCAACATCGTTGAGGTATTGCCTAGTCATTCTGGCTATATGCGGCCGAGCATTATCTTGCATTAGGAGAAAAGTTTCTCCTATAAAGGGCATATGAGGAACCATATGTTCTTCCAAACACTCTCTAATGTACCTGTCGGCAGTAAAGTGTCCTCCTCGTAGCGAAACAAGATCTGCGCGGGATTCCAAAGGAATACTGCCCCATACCATCACTCCTCCACCACCAAATTGCACTCTAGGAGCGAAACAACTTTGAGCATAGCGTTCTCCACGCCTTCTCCACACTCTTTGGCGACCATCAGGTGAATGTCTCGTAAAACGAGACTCGTCTGTAAAAAGTACGTTTTTCCAGTCAACCATATCCCAATCTGCATGATTTCGAGAAAATACCAAGCGCTGCCTTCGATCATCTACATCCAATAGAGGACCTGTATGCAGGTTCACAAGATGATAGGTTTCCTTCTGTCAACCTTCGGCGTATGGTGTCAGGTGAAACTATGGCACCATGATCACCATCCAATCTTCGAGTCAAAGCTGTAGCAGGAACTGTCCTTTCTCTAAGAGCTGGAAGTCTCAGAAACCGATCTTCCACTGCGTTTGTTGCTTTCCGTCCTCCTTGCCCAGATCTTCGTGAGTAAGAACCAGTTTCTCTAAATCTTTGTATCGCATCGAATACCGTACTGCGTGGAACGGCAAGCCTTTCTGCGATATACCGAATAGGACGACCATGATCTTGTAAAGTTAAAGCTTGCGCTACCTGTTCCGGTGTCATTTTTGTTGAGTATTACTTGACAAGAATTTTTTTGACATGCCATAAAAATGCTAACAGACACAGCCTAATTGAAACAATTTCTTACCTGGCAAAACCTGCTTGGAAGAATTTTTTGTTTATGGCTATGATTCGCATGATTTTCTTCAAAACATGATATATTCTTCAATAATTGAGATATTGACATGAATCAAACAAAGAACTGTTGAGAAAAGTTGAGGCTTAACATTCTCATACCAATACACATTATTCAGTAATTCAATCTTTCCACAGGGTGTTCAGAAATTTAGGGCAAAATGCACCTTTTAGTTGCACCCTGTATAACAACAAACATTCTCAATTTTTTGGCAAGATCGATAGTCGATAATAATGAAAATGAAGTTACCTACAACTTGACGAAAAAATTAACGAAATTGATGCAAAAGTTAAAGTTATTTAAAATTTTGTTTGTCCGGTTAATTTTACGTGGCAGGGTAGGTTGCCATTATTTTGTTAACACAAAGATTATGTTCTAACAGAAGAATTCAAAACATCACGTAACATTTCTGGTGTAACCATACTAAACGCTTCCATTACACTCTAGTATAGGAGCAGCCACTAAGATCTTGTGTACCCTTATAATGCAATGCAATACATTATTAACTGTATCTTTGAGAGCATACAAAATTGAGATCACGTGATCGAACACGTAGTAGTTTGGCCGCCATATTTAAATATGGCCGTTGAGCCGTAAAACGGTTTATCAACAAATCTTCGTGACCAGTGGAATGATTCGGGGTTCTTAAAGATCATTTTATTCATTTTTAAAAACAAGTTTTATTATTGCTCACTTTCGGACAAACCCTTTAGTTATTGAGACATACGAAGGTTTTCATTTTTATCAGTTTGTGCAGGCCACTACTTTAAATCGGAAAATAATCTATTTTTGGTAGATTTTTTTTATAATCCTTATACGTGCTTGATAATATTCCGTACTCAAACTGAAGGCACGTATAAGGGCACACGTGACCTTGGTGGTTGTTTCTTGACTATTCCTAATTACAGGTTTTCTTTATAGATCCATTCCGTAGAATTTGGAGACGGTTTTGTTGATCTTGGTGCTCAGTGGATCCACGGCGAGAAGGGCAATATCGTTTATGAAATGGTCAAAGATCTCGACTTGGTTTCCAAGTCCCAGAATGACTATAACAGCTTCACATTTTATTTATCAACAGGAAAGATCGCAGAAAGACATACAACTGAAAAGTTATTCAATATTTTGAAGACAATTGTGTTTCAAGATGGGGAGTGCAATTATAATGGTTCATTTAAAGACTATATTAAGGAACAGTGAGTGTCCTCTCAGGTTTTTCCATCTATAAAAACAGGGTTTATGAGAATAAGGTACAATAGGCATCATTGTACAAATTCGTACAGGATGGTCCAACGGAATGGTCGCGTTTTGTGACTCTCCCGGTATATTTTGGGAAAAACGCTCGGACACGTCAATTTTGATCTCTAGATTTCTAGATCTATAGACTTACAATACAGGGTGATAGAAAATAAGATATTGTCTTACACTTTAGGCCCGTATCGTCAGTCGTCCCTACAATTGTAGGGCGCCTTTATGGCCTCCTTGATTGTCATAGTTTTCTACTTCTCCGTGTCAGAACTCTATTTTGAGGTTATGTCACAAACATGTCTTTGCATCAAACTGTGCTTGCTTTTGAGTTATATCATGTTTTATCAGCCTGAAATTTCCTACAATTTAAAAAGAAAACATATCTTCACAATAGGAGAGCGCTGACGCTGACAAGGGAGAAGCGTAATCTAGAAATTTTTGAAGGAGAGAAAGGAGTATGACAATCAAGGAGGCCATAAACATAAACGCGCCCTACAATTGCAGGGACGACTGACGATACGGGCCTTAGATTCTTAAATGGAAATCCCCATTTTTTTAAAATTTTAGATGCTTCATGAAGTTTTTAGTAACTTTTGTATAATAAAGTTTATAATCTGTAATGCATTGTGACAGAACAAGGACTAGGGGGGGACTTCCCTTAGACCTGAGTTCCTCTAGCCAATCTGACCATGGTATCGATATTGTTGGTTGCTGCATATATAACTCAGCTATGAAGCTTTATGTCTTTGTAATTTATCTACATCCATATACAAATGCAGACTCTTACTGTCAGCTATTCGAATACTTTGAATTGCTAGAAACAATATATGGCAACAAAATTTTATTCATTGCAGATTTTAATATCACAAAACACATAAAACTATGGCATCAATATCGAGGGACAGACAGACATTAAGTGTGAATTACTTAGCAACTTTTTAGATTTTTTCAATTTTAACCAGTACAATCATGTAATGAACGGAAATGGTAGGCTATTAGATTTAGTGATATGAAACCAAGAGTGTCAAGTATCTAGAGATGTACCCATTGCTCGAGAAGACCCTCATCACCCTGCTCTTTCGGTAAATGTCAAAATTAGTAAAGAACGCGACACAGTCTTTGAGTTCAACAATACCGAGGTGAAGTACAATTTCAGTAAAGCTAATCTTTGCAACCTCTATTTAGACTTCTTAAATATTGACTGCAATTGGTGTGAGCGAGAAGCGGATGTTAATATCTTGTGTAGTCATTTTTATGAAAGTATTAGAAAGCACCACTGTTACAAATAGGAAACTGGGAATGTGGTGCAATATAACGACTTTAAACTTCTTAGATCTAAGATGAAGTTGAATGTTAGCCATGCATACCAAAATTACATAGCTAATGTTCAAGATAATATTTCTAATAATTCCAAAGCATTTTGGACATTTATAACCTCTAAAAGAAAGAACTCTAGAATACCTGTCGACATGTTTTATGGTGATCAGAATTTTCATGACCCGCAATCCAATGTATCAAGCTTTGCTGAATTTTTTAAAACCGTATATAACGATTCACCTGTTACTTGTGACATAGACCAAGAAGCATGTAGTTCTGAATCTCTCTCAGTCCCTGTTTTTAGCGAAGAATGCATAGTAAGAGCCTGCAAAAAATCAAAGCCTAAGCCATCTAGTGGTCTAGACGGAATCCCGTCATACATTGTAAAAGACTGCATTAGAGCTTTTGTTAAGCCTCCATGTCAAATTTTCAACAAATCGCTTCAAGATGGTGTCTTTCCGGACTGCTGGAAGGCCTCCAAGGTATGTCCTATATTTAAGAGCGGAAAAGTGAATGATGTAAAGAATTATAGGGCAATTTCGCTCGTATGTGGTTTTTCTAAAACTTTTGAGATGCTGGTTCATGAAAATACAGGGTGTCCGCAAAGTTGGGGTTTTCCTTTACACGACGTGTAGATCTTGAAAACATAAGAAATTTTTCTTAGTACCATATACACAAATGTCGTAAGGGAACCGAGATAAAGGGCTCTGCAACATCAAAAATATCTGAATACCGTCCTGTAGCCGCGACATCCCCGACTGGTACTAGGACACTAGCTCAACCCGACGACAGAACTGGGTCGGGGTCAGTGTGTCAGGTCAGTATGTAACCTTCAACCGACGGTTACGGTCACGCGTCTAGAGGTAATCGCGTAGACGAGAATCCCTCAACAAGCACTAGAGACGTGGGTAGAGAAGTGCAAGTATTAAAAACTAAAGTGTGGCAAACGCTGCGTGAAGAGGGGCTGTATCCGTTTCACGTCCAACGTGTACAAGCCCTTCAACCTGACGATTTTCCAGCAAGAGTGCGGTTTTGTGAGAGGTTGTTGCATCAACATGACAATAATCCGGACTTTTTGAAGTGCATATTGGTGACAGACGAATCTACGTTCACGCGAAATGGGGTGAATAACTTTCGCAACACTCATGTTTGGTCAGTAGAAAATCCGCACGCTGTCCGTCGGGCACATTTTCAACAAACATTTTCGGTATGCTCATTGGACCATTTATTCTCCCAAATCGATTGGACGGGATGCAATACCTACACTTTTTACGCAACATTTTGCCTTCCTTGTTAGAAGATGTGCCATTAAGTGTAAGACAATCAATGTTGGAGCGGTATGATTTCGGGCAGAGACGTACTTAGCCCTTCTCGTTAACTGGAGAGTGAGTACTTTTTCCTTTATTTTTTTTTACTTCGTCGCCCTCGTTTCACTGCACATCACCTTTGTTATTTCAAGGGTAGTTGTTTCTGAGAAGGAAAACCCCAACTTTGCAGACACCCTGTATATAGGTATCCTAGTATAAGTAACCTGTTATCGGAAAAACAACATGGATTTAGGAACAAAAGATCGACAACAACTAACTTATTCTGCCTCATGAATTATCTGTCGTTTGCTGTAGATCAACAACAACAGGTCGATATATTCTCGGATTTCTCAAAGGCATTTGACTGAATAAACCACTCCATTTTGCTTAAAAAAATGTATAAATTTGGGTTTTCTGAGAGCTTGTTGATGTTTTTCAGTTCATATTTATCTGAACGCGTTCAATCTGTGCAATAAAACGGCTTCAAATCGGAATCATACACACCAACTACGGGAGTACCACAAGGTACTAACTTGGGCCTCCTACTATTTTTAATTTTTGTTAACGATATCAACCATATAATAACAGTAGAAAACCAAATGTTTGCGGATGTCTTAAAAATTTACTCAGTAATTCATGGACAAGAGAGCTTAGACCTTTTGGAGGAAAATTTAGACAACATTCTTGACTGGTGCCAGAATAATGATTTTTTTGCTTAATCCCAGCAAGTGTAAATTAATGTCCATTACCAGAAAACAGTCTATCTAACCATATGATTATCTGCTGGACAATCACAAACTTGACAGAGTACCGGAAGCAAAAGATCTGGGCATTACTATTACCTACCGCGGATCTGTCATTTTCAACACACTTGAATCAAATAGACAAACCAGAGTCACGTATGCTTGGATTCATTATTAGAAATTGCAGATCGTTTACTAACATAGAATCATTAAAAATACTGTATTTCACTTTAGTTAGAAGCTTACTTGAATATGGTTGCATTATCTGGTCTCCTTTATATGTTACATATATATCTAAAGCGGAGAAGATCCAAACTAAATTTTTAAAATATCTGTATATGGTGCATATCCTCCATTCAACTATCCAAAGAACGACCTTTTAGATCACTTTGGCATGGTCAGTCTTGAACAGAGAAGATTTTTGTTAAGCTGCTGCTTTGTGCATAAGTTGCTAAGCAATCAGATTGACTGTAGTGAAATTTTGTTGAACTTAAACTTTACTGTGCCTAGGTTGAATAGTAGGAACTACACTATGTTTTATCTTCCAAAAGCTTCAACAAATATTATGCTAGCATCCCCTTCATACAGAATGATGAAATGCTTTAAAGGTTAGTCATCTCTTTGACTTTGATATGAGCGAACATGTATATAAAAGAAAAACGTTGTCATATTTAAAAACCGTTCAGTGACGTAAACTATTTTCAGCTACCTTTCATCTTATTCTTTATCTATTTTAGGAGTTGAATTAACGTTCAGAAATATATTAATTTGCATGTGTTTCTACTGCACTGATGGGGCTGTGTGTTGGATTTCTGATATATACACACACATAGGGTTTTTTTAGTATCATCAATCCATGATATTATTTTTTGTGTGTGTGTCTATTTGCTTTTCAACACTTGTATAGTGTTTCTCTGTAATTGGATCTCGTATCTGTTGAGAAATATATGAATAAAATAATATACCTATCTTCAGTCGTTGTGAAATTATTTGAGTTTATAATGAAATTCTAGAAATTTTGATCATAATGGATTATAACGTAAAAATAAGAATCAAGATAGTAACAAGACTTTACTTTAAAATTAAAAACAAGTCTCCAAGTTTAAAAAAAAACAAAAAATAACTTACAGTTCACACGCTCATTAAAGTTGAAGTAAAAATTAATTTACTATGAATGGGTCAATGTGGTAGTAATTGCTGGAGGTGCTGTTCATTTATCTCCATGCAATAATAAAGATTTTATTCGAATATATTCCTCACATTTTCGAATATGTCTTGAGTGTGTCTAATTCATCATCATAATCCGCTTACGAAAATCTTGAATGAAATCTGGCTTCGTACTAAAAACTTTGCTTTTCAATGCCTCAAAAGGAAATAATCTAAAGCTAAAGGATTAGGACCGGAGATCTCAACAGACACTCACCTGCCGATCCGCTGATTCGGGAAATGGATATCCAAAAGCTGTCATGCTGGAGCCACATAATGCGGCGGTGCACCATCTTGTTGGAAATGAATGTAATTTTCATAATTAACGTGATTTGCTATTATTTCGGTAATTTGTGGCTCTATTCAATTTTCTAA